TTTTTTTTTTTTTTTTTGATACCAGGGATCAAACTCGGGTCCTTGCACTTGCAAGGCAGACATAAATCCCTGGCCCCTTGAATTATTTTCTTAAAATAAATTTAGAAGTAGGATTGTTTAGGTAAAGAAAATGTACTTTTAGTCTTCTCAATGTATAGTGCTAGATTGTCCTCAAGAGATAGATGATATTTACATTTTAATGCACAAGGTATAAGAATATCATTTGTTATCACCTTGCCAGTATTATATATCATTAATTGTTTTGTTTTGATCAATAATGGATGTATCTAACTGTAGGATAACCTGGACTTCTTAGTTGTTGCTGTGTGCTGTCTTTGTTACTAAATATATGCAGAAGCTTTGAGTAGTTTGGATTAAATGTCTGATGAAGTCTGCTTGTACCTAAACGTTACTCTTAGAGGAATATAAAGTCACTGTGAAGGGTTCGATTTGTCAATCATAAGAAAAGGTTTTGTGCCCCCTTTTAATGTTCATCGTAACAGATGAACCTGATTATATTTTATTGAGTACCTTTTGATTTGTTCCAGTAGCCGGATCGAGCTCGGAGATGTAACACCACACAATATCAAACAGTTGAAGAGGTTAAACCAGGTCATCTTTCCAGTCAGCTATAATGACAAGTTCTACAAGGATGTGCTGGAGGTTGGCGAGTTAGCAAAACTTGGTATAATATATTTTTTTTAATCTTTAAAAAAAAAATGTGTATTTTTGAACTGTACCTGTTAATAATAGAGCAAGACATTAACTAATTTAGTCTTATTATGCAAGTGGAGACATTGGAGTGATCCAAGTTCTGCAAAACAGTTTAGAGATAGAAATGGATTTTAAAAAGAAATGCAAAATATTTATTCTTTAGTGTGTACCTATGTGTTATCATGGATTTGTCTTTCCTTCAAAGGAATCTTAACCTTCGTAAGATAATGTAAGTGGTTTTTGAGGCCACTGACAGTCATAGAGTAGCTTATTAAACTTTAACACTAATAGGAACAGTTTAGTCTTTTACAAGAGATTAAATGAAATGTGTTTATTTTGTTCATTGAACTTTGTATCTTTCTATTTTCCATGGCAGCCTATTTCAATGATATTGCTGTAGGTGCAGTATGCTGCAGGGTGGATCATTCACAGAATCAGAAGAGGCTTTACATCATGACACTAGGATGTCTTGCACCTTACCGAAGGCTAGGAATAGGTAAAATTATTTGTGTTTTATGGGTTTTTTTCCTTCAAAGAAGCAATACATTGTTAATCTGCATGATCTAATAAATCTGTTCATTAACATAATTCGATTGGAAACCCAAGTTTATATCCTTTAGATCAAGTTTTATTTTTTTATCTGTCTGGCAAAGTCAGTAATAAAAGATTGCTCTCATACTAATAGTTGTTTGTTTGTTTGTTTGTTTGTTTGTTTGTTTGGGACAGGATCTCACTATGTAGTGAGACTGATCTGGAACTCACTGTGTAGCCCAGGCTGGTCTGGAACTCACAGGGATCCTCCTGCCTCAGCCTCCCAAGAGTGCTGGGATTACAGGCGCGCACCACCAATAGTTTTAAACCTATGTAATTAGAGAACAAAATTTGGGGGAAAAGGTTATCTTGTAAATTCTATTTATAGAATTTATAAATTCTATTAGGACATAATATGTAGAATTTAAAAGTTTATTTTTAAGGTTACTTACTATTTTTTATCTTATTAATAGGAACTAAAATGTTAAATCATGTTTTAAACATCTGTGAAAAAGATGGCACTTTTGACAACATCTATCTGTAAGTAAAATAATATTTAATGTTCTTTAATAAATTGTCAGTTGAAATCTTTACTAGAAACTTTAAAATCTGGTCATTTAATTTGTATCTCTGAAAACATCACAGAAGTATAGTTGTCCCTCGGAATCCCTAGGAAGTTGGTTCCAGAATCCTCTAGAGATATAAAAGTCGGACAAGCTCAAGCCTCTATATAAAATGGCATAGTATTTACATGTGACCTACAGATATCCTCCCATATATTTAACCAACCTAGATTACTTACAATATTTAATATAATTAAGTGCTCTGTAAAGATACTGAATTGTTTAGGGAATGACAAAAGGTGTATATGCAACCTTTTTTTCTAAACTATATTTTCAGTCTGGTGTTGGTTGAATCCATAGTTGCAAATTCTGTGTATATAGAAGACCAACTATAGTTTTTAGTAAAGTTTTGTTTTAATAATAGCAAGGAACCTAAGGTAAAACACATTAACTTAATTATATTGGAATGGGAGCTCAAGTCATGATAAAGCCAGGATTAAAGCACAGCTGTTGAATTCAAGATCATTAATAGGATTTTTCTCATGCCATGTTGTTTGCACTCTGTATTTTGTTCAAGGTTATCAGTCCTATGTGTTTTTGTAGTAGAGTTTAGTAATCAAAATCAGAAATGACCTACCTTAGATTTATATGTGGATCTCAAGAGGTTAACAGATTAAGAGCCAGTACTAACGTCATAGTCATGGATTATTTGTAGTTCAGTTTAGGTGTTGGGAGAGATTAAATTATGCAATGTTATTTTGAGGAGTAATAGATTAGTAATAGCTCAGATTTTTTAAGATTTAAAATACAACATTTCAGGGGCCAGGGGTTTGACTCAGTGGTTCCACTGCCTGCCTTGCAAGCACAGATAATAGGCTATAGTTTGGCACTTGAGACCCTAGTTTCTTGTTTTTTAATCATTTTTATTTTGGTTTATATTTCATGTGACTTGTGATTCATCCCCATGGTTATTTAACCTATTTTAGATTACAGAAATCTTCTGTTTTAGTCAAAATATGACTTTACTCTTTGTTAACTATGAGGGTATCCTAATCTCAGCCATCTGTTTTGTCAATCAAATAATTTGTTTAAAATTTTTAAATTGTCATCAAAAGGTTCTCTGCAAGCATGAAGTAATCCTTTGTTGATTACAAGTAATTGTGAAGGAATGTAATGTCCCAGGACCAATTTGAAGCTTTCTGTGGAGAAGGCATAGAGCTGATAAATTTTAATTTATTATTATGTCTTTATACCTTGTTGCATCTTAGGCACGTCCAGATCAGCAATGAGTCAGCAATTGATTTCTACAGGAAGTTTGGCTTTGAGATTATTGAAACAAAGAAGAACTACTATAAGAGGATAGAGCCTGCTGATGCTCATGTGCTTCAGAAAAACCTCAAAGTCCCTTCTGGTCAGAATGCAGATGCGCAAAAGACAGACAACTGAACAAATTACAAATGAACTTTCTTGCACTTGCTTGTCGCCAAATAAAAAGAGAGGCCCATTAATTCCCCCACCCCCTTGTTAAGCTTTCCCTCATTTTGTTCTTGGTTTTCCTCTCCCCCCGCCTTGAACCTTTAAAAGTTTTATTTCAAGGACTTTTAAAAATAATCATGTCTGGATTGCTTTAGTTCTTTCACTTTGGTGATGTGATTGGATTGAAGGAAGAAGATCTGTTTAGTTTCATAGTTAAGATGTATAACTCAAAAATTTTGGGTTTCAATTGATTTCAAATTTTTTAGCTTTTTTTTTTAAGTGTCCTGTTTTCACATTGAAGGGCGGAGCCTACAAATACTGTTTATTTCAAAAGACTAGAAGAAGCAGCAGCAATATCTTTTTCTCTGATTTCATAGACAAGTTTAGCGTGTTTGTGGTACTTTGGGTTTTTTAAGACTATTTGTGGGATACTTATCCCTGGACATTGCCTTCACTCCACCTTTAGTCCTTCTGAGCACCCTCTTAGGAGTTGGACCATTGTTATCCTTGTAAGAAATACTAAGCTTATTTAGATTTTTAAAGCAGTTGATTTTTCTCTTCTTGCTAATGGGTGGGGAAGTTTGGGTAGGTAGTGTTACACTTTGGTCTAAGTATTTGAGTTAAACTGCCTTTATGTTAATGAGTGGACTGGTTGTCAGCAGGTTTGTTTTTCCTGCTATTGTTATTAGAGGCATTAACATTTAGTGTGAGCTGGTGAGATTAAATTTTTTTTTAATATCCCAGCTAGAGATAATGGCCTTTAACTGACCTAAAGAAGTTTATTGTGATTTAGTTTTTTTTCCTGTCCTTTTTCTTCTGTAAGCCCACTAATACTATAGTGAGTTTAACTTTGAAAATGGAGTTGATGTCCTTATAGGTTAAAACCCCTAAACAAACCTGAAGCAGGTGTTTTTCCACTTAGACATATTTTGAAATACCTAAAGGAAAGCTTAGATGAACTTGTGGCACAATAAATGCATTAATGTCAACTAATACAGGCTGTTAAAAATGTGGCCAGTGAGTGTTTGATTATTATTTAGGAAAGAATATCTAGACAGTATTTTTTGAGAATAACATAGTTATGATACTCCTTATCCTTTGAAGAATATCCCGTATTTGCTTATACTCTGTGCCTACAATATTGAGTTTAAGGATTTGGGATAAGAGGAATTGTTAAACAAATTGCTTCTATTCTTGGAAAAGTAGAAGCATAAAGTGTTATAGTACAGATATCACTGTGACCTCCTTCCTCTAGTGACAGGACTGGTTTTATGCTAGATCATTATCTGACAAGTAGGGAGTGACTGACAGGTTGGTAACTTTTCATAAGATGAGACACCTGAAATACTCATGATTTCCAGTTGTCCAGTCTCTAATATTAGGCAGATTTTTAGATTGTCAGTGGTGGTTGCTCAAGAATTGTTCTTGGTAGACTTGAAAGAAATGCACAAAACTTGAGTTTTCTGTCATTTGACTTTAAAAGGAAATTTAATTTACAATATTTACCCTTATATGTAAAAGTCTCATCTCCAAATAAGTTACATGGCAAAATTACTTTACAGAATGTTTATACACACGATAACTTTTAAGTTTTCATTTGAAAATGTGAAAGTGCAAAGTAAAATAGACTTCAGTCTTAATTGAGTGCCAAGAAAAATTTTTAAGGAAGATGATTGATTAATGAGTCTATAGGGTCCTGATCTTAGTGAAAATGTAGAAAGGCCCTGCTGGTTTCTTTGTTATCAGATTCTTAATTCAAATAAAAGCTTAGGAGAAACGTTTAACATTAAGCACCTTTACCTTCATGGATGTTTCAGCTTGCTCTTGCTGAGAGAAGAGTGCTTGAGTTACACAAAGCGTAATTAGCATGAAGAATTCAGCCTTTTTGTATCTTCCAGATATCAAACTAGATTTTGATATATAAATGAATTTTCTGAGACAACACTGCCTCTATTTCTATAACTATTTCACTTGGACTATCTAAGCGGTCCTATGAATGTATCCCTAAATGTGGTTATTGAAAAACCAAATAGCTGCCTCACAATGAAGTACATGTTATTTAAAGACAGAGGAAAAATATTCAAGTTACAATTGAGTGTGTAGGCTTCCCGTTGTTACAATTTCTTTTCCACACTAGCCAATGACTTATCTAAATTCTTAGTGTTTGTAAAGGGTTAATTGTCCTCCATCAAACTAGCATTAATTCCACTTATAGAAGGGAAGATGTGGAAGAGTTAGAAACTGGGCGCTACTAGTTTATGTCTTTGAGTCAATAAAGACTAATATCCAATGTTGGTTATTTTGACAAATGGTAAAAATTATCTTTAACATAAATCAGTAATTCTTTTTACTAGAAGATCACAGGATATATCCATCATACTTTTCAGGATGGATGGTTTTTACTGTGGGGCAAACAGGTTAAAATTATACCACATGATAAGTTGCGTTTAGGTCTAAAAAAAAGAATCTGTAGAGAAATTATACAATATATAATTTGTCCAAATTAGTTTTAACTTGGGGAAAAGAGTTCTAAAATATCTCCAAAGCAGTTTTCTCATCAGTTGAAAAATCTTTCAAAAAGAGAACTATTGGGAAACCATGGTTTGTGGTGGTGGAAAAGAAAAGCTCCCTCAGTTTTTGGAGGGAATAACTTTAAAAATACTTAAATGGTTAAGTTTACTTGGTGCAGTTAAAAATTAAACTTCAATTTTAACATTGCTGTTACATCTGAAATAAACTTATGTGATGCTCTGGTAGTGATCTGTGATGTCTAAATGAAATGTCAAAGGAACACCCGCATTGTGCTGAATTCTGCAATCAGCAAGTATAGGTAGTCATTGTGTGCTATTGCCCTTACTGTTGTTCATATTCTCCCCCCAACACTTCCCCCAATACTAGGGCTGAGGATTAAACCCAGACCTTTTGTACTGAGCTTCATGCCTATCCCTTTTTATGTTTTTTTAGGATCTCACTAAGTTGTCTAGGGGCTCTTGAACTTTCTGATCTTGTTGCAGTCTACCTTCAGTACTGGGTTTACAGGCATGTGCCACAATGCCTGGCTAGTTTTTTATATTTAAGAACTAATTTACAACTCATAAAAATAGGATGTAATGGAAACATCCTAATTCAGACCTTTTGCACCTTGCTAGTAACTTATCCACTATCTATAGTGTAATACTGTGAGAAAAGATCTAAGGAGCTGTCTTGTGCTATATTTTGAATTACTTAATTATGACAATATACAAGTTTTTCTTTTCTCTTTAGTAGTTAACTGAGTTTGAGAATTTGATTTTCCCTTTAATACCAAACAAGCATGAATATAAAATTTTGTCTTTGACAAAATTGACTCACTACTTAACATTTCTAGTCAAAGCAGTTGTACATAAATTTTTACTTATTCCTGATATGTCTTAGTTATCACCCAAAATTTAGCAGCTTGAAACAACAAACGTGTTATTTATTATCCACAGTTTCTAACTTGAAAATGTAGATACAGCGTGCCTAGTTGAGTTTGAGATCTCTTAAGTCAGTAAGTAGGAAGTTGTCAGCCAAGGCTGCATCATTTTGAAGGCTTGACAAAGTCTGGGGAAGCAGCCCTCCAAGGTGGCTCGCTTACATGTCTGTTGGGCCTCAGCTGATTAATGTCTCCAAAAAGCTGCCTGCCTGATAGATAACATCTGAATTCCCCCAGAGCAAGTAATCCAAACAAGATCTCCGTGACAGACCAAATATTGTAGTACCATGGTGTACTGTGGAAGGGGACTACACAAGGATGTGAATGCTGGGAAGTGGGGATTATTGGGTCTTACTGGCTATCACAGAGCTTAGGAAAAAATGGGCTTTGTTGAGTACAAAGTCAGTGTGGTTGGTAACTTGTTTTATTAATCTCTGACGGGATTCCTAAATGAGGATGATGATAAAGCAGTGTAAAGCCGGGCATGGTGGTGCATACCTATAATCCCAGCACTCGGGAGGCTGAGGCAGGAGGATCCCTGTGAGTTCCAGACCAGCCTGGGCTACATAGTGAGTTCCAGGCCAGTCTCAACTACATAGTGAGACCCTGTCTCAAAAAAACAAAAGAGAAACCTGTGTACTTTGTAATTCAGAATGTAAAAGAAATAGGAAGTGAACATAATTCTACTCTTGTGTTTAGGTTTTCAGAGGATGATTAATCTGTCTCAGACTCAGCAATGAACGTACAGAAACTTGATGGGGTGAACATTTACTATAAGAAAGGACACTAAATTGGAACTTCCTTGCAAGGCACAGGAAATTAATCCTTTATGATACAGTCAAGTAACATTGCTTGAATCAGATTTTAAATGTATGATTTGGTAAAACATTGAGAAATGTGATCTGTTAATAGTGCAGAAATTCTCAATCTTTGAATTCCCAACCTTCAAAACACCTGATTTTTTAGGTAAAAATTGTTTATCTAGACTCAAAAGTCTGGTTCAGAAATAATTGGGATCAGAAATTTGAAGCAGTTGCTAATTACATAGCCCAGAGTTTGTCTTATGTGTGGCCTTTTTATACTTGTGATAAAAGCTTAAATTGAACATATAAGGAGATACCTATTTGGATAGAATATTTTGGACTTTGTGAACATGACTTAGATATTCCTAATTTATTTACTGTCCTCTAGGCAGGCCTGGTAGTGCATGCCTCCAATCAGCGTTCAGAAGGCAGAAGCAGAGGACAGCAAGTTTGAGGCTTCCCTGGTTTACATAGATCCTTTCTCAAAAATAAAAACAAAACCATGTCTATAGCTTTAATGGTATCTGATTAAAGGGTCTTTTTTAGACCAGATTTCTAGAGCTCTTCTATCCCCATCCTCACAGTAAGAATTGAACCCAGGACCTCTACACTGAGTTGTATTCTCAGCCCTTTTTTTTTGTTTTGCTGAAAGGTCTCATGTCCCTTAAGTTGCGCAGGCTGGGTTTGAACTTGGGTTCTTGCCTTAGTTTCCCAGAGTGCTGGGTTACAAATGTGTGCTATCACACCCAGCTTTAGTTACTCATCTTTGAGAAACCGTATTGGCAATATCAACAATCTTCTATAAAGATTTGGACAATCTTGAGTTTGACTTGTCAATAGCAATCTCCAGCCATGAAGTGTAATAGAACTATCAGATACTACAAGTATAGTAAATTGTTTCTACAAATGTGTACTGCTCTTCCAATCTCGGGACGTGGTAGTGACCAAAGCACATAAGACCCATGGCCTCTTTAAAGGTAAGTAAAATTCTACTTTAAGTAGAATGTACAACTTTAAATAAGTTACTTTAAGTGACATGTGCGAGTGACCTTTTGTTTTCTGCTTTGGTATAATTAAAACAATTCCCACAAGTATGACTACAGAATACTCAGTATCTACTAGTCTTGCCTTTTCCTGGTTTACCAGTTAAGACCAGCTCTCCCAAGGATCTTGATTTCACTTTCACTTTGGAAAGAACTTGATAGAAATGTTCCCTATACTGGCCTGTTTTAAACATCTACTCAAGTATTTAAAAAAAGGTCCGTTACCATTAAAGGACTTGCGTTGTAGAAGAGTGAAAGCATGCAAAAGGTATACAAGTTCATACAAGTTTATGCGACAGAAGCTATTAAAGATTGTGGTTCCATTATGTATAATGTCTCCCTAGAGCCATGCAGCTTATCCCT